CTCTAGTCCCATCACGAGCCAGCTGTGCAACCTTGGGAGGTTACTTAACCTCTCTGTCCTTCCACTCTTTCTCTTTCCACTTCTTCTGGGTGGAAAGTGGATCCAATGAGCCAGGTTTGGTTACAGGGATGAGGACTGTGCATTCACCTTGTGAGCTTGCTTACTTGGGCCATTCTCCCACCAAAATGCAAGCTTGGGGATAGTGATACAGTGCAGGCTACTGCTGGGTCCCTAGCACCAGGCAATTCTGCAGTTGCACAGGTGGCTGTGCTCAGAGGGCTCCCATCGGGTTAATGCTCTGCTGTCACTGTATGGATATTCTCAATAATTTTTGAACAAGGGGCCCCCCATTTCCATTTTCTTGGGTTCCTGCATTTTAGTCTGCTGTTTCTGTCCACACCCAGAACTTGGCACAACGCTGGTGGATAAGCCAGGCTGAGACAGGAAGCCTCTTTCATCCCTTCCCAAACACATGAGGACATTTTCTCTCTTCCAGCCTGCTACTCTGTGCCTTTCTGTCAGGGCATGGAAGCCGCCCAACCCCAAGCTGTGGGTCGCAGCAAGGTTTGCCATACAAAACCCTTCTCTCCCTCACAGGTACCCTGTGAGGCATAAATACATTTTCCCAACTGAAAAGTATTTCAAGTCTTCTGCAGTCAACTAGGCATGTCTAGCATTCATGCAGTAGGCACTGAGCAGGGTCAGAAAGTGAGCAAGGACCCACTGAGCTGGAGGGAAATGGTGCCAGCCCATCTCTGTATGTCTCCTGTAGCTTCTGCAACAAATTATCACAAGTCAGGTGACTTAAAACAACAGAAATTCATTCGCTCACAGTTCTGGAGGCCAGCAATCCAATATCAAAGAGTGCATAGGGCCACGCTCCCTCCAAAGGAGGGAGCTCCCAGGCTTTTGTTGTCTGTGGCTGCACCATTCCAGCCTCCGCTTGTGTCTTCATGTGGCCTTCTCTTCCAGCCTCTTCTCCTTTTCTTATAAGGACCCTTGTCATTGGACCAAGTTAATCCAATGCTCTCATCTTGAGGTCCTTAATTATATCTGCAAAGAACCTTTTTTCCAAATCAGGTCACATTCACGGGCACCGTGGGTTCAGACTTGGGCATATCTTTCTGGGGGGTCACAATCCAGCCCACGCACAACCCAAGCTGGTGAGAATGGCATGAAGGCCAAGTGGACACAGAAGCACTGCAGTGACAGCTCCACAAGCACGGCCTCCCTGTGTGCCAGGAGTGGTTCTAAGGGCCTTATGTGCATGTTAACACATTTACTCTGCTCAGTAACAGGTGCTATTATTATACTCATTTTACAGATCAGGAAACAGGCACACGCATAAATAAGTCATTTGTCTGCAGTCACCCAGTGAGTTCTGGTCATCCAGCTGTGGAAGTTGGCAGTCTGTCTGTCTGCAGAGGCTGAGCTCTTACCTGCTCACTGCATGGAGGGCCAAGCTCTCTGACCCACATGGTATAGGGCCAGACAGGTGACAAAGAGCAAAGAGGCCTCTAGGCGGTGGCAAGGGTAGGGGTGAACTGGAGAGTTGGATGGGGCATCGCTCCTCAGCCCCAGTTAAAGAAAGGCAGGGCTCTCAGCTTTCCCTATTTTTTCAAGAAAGGCATAAGATTCCAATTTTTATGTGGAAATTCACAATTATTAGATTTTGTGACTTATTTATTTTTTAAAAACCAAATGAAGCACTTCAGTAGTCTGTAAATCAGCAGTCTGCCACCTCCAGGGTACAGAAAAGGGCCACCGAGTCAGGAGTGCAGGGCCCAGCATCCACAGAGCCCGCAGGTCCTTGCCGCTCTCCAGGGTGCTGACTCTGAAGTCTCACTCTCCCCTGGCCTTAAAGGAGCCATCATCAGGAGGTGACAGCGACTGTAATTCTGATTTTATTATTATGGAGCGGCGGTCATTTCTGGCTGAGTGGCGCTGAGTGACGGATGGTGATTTAGGAATCTTACAGGGGGATTAGGGAGGTGAAGCTAAACATATTTTCCTCTGAGGCTCATACAGGCTGCAAACAAGTTGCTGTGGACAATGCTGATAAAAAGCAAATTATTTTATTCTGTTCACAGTCAATTCCAACTCCAGACTGCAGAGTCCCTCAGAAATAAGGTATTAACACTTATCGTGTGAAGCTGAATTCTTCAAGGAATAGTAATCCTTAAACAGATGGAGAAGTCATTTTTAAAGCATTAAACTCCAGAGGCAGGAGACCTGCTCATCCTTCTTCTTAACTAGCCATGCAGTGTCTTGACATATTTGGTGTGAGAAAAAAATTCAAACCACATTGCATTGACAGGGAAAGGGCTGCCCCCAGGGGTACTTGTACAGACAAGGAATTTTTGAAATTGGGTCCACATCTGTGTTGTGGGTATTGGATCTTTCTCACTGTCAGTCTGTTCCTACATCTTCTGTTGATGGCACCCCAGTTCTCTTTTGTGGGACCACCCCTCCCTCATGCTCAGTCCATCAGCTATGGATTGGGCTGTCTTCACCCCTAAATTCAGAGATGGGCATGTGACCCAGGCCTGCCACAACCATTGGGCATCAGTCACTAGCAGGGCATGGTCATGTGACTTGAATTGGTCCAATCAGAGCCAACCCTGGGATCGTTGCTGCCACAAGGGCTCTCTTGTTACCATAGTTGCTGTGAGGCCAGGATAAATGCCTGTGGTTGTGCTTATCATTCTTGCATTGCTACTAGCTGAGAATCAAGCCAAACTGGTGGAAAAAAGATGAGAGATGGATGAAAACAGATCCATATTTCCAGAATCCAGGTCACTTAAACCCTGGATCCAGACATACCTGAAGCCACCAACATCTCAAGCCTTCATTTAGATAGGCTAGTATGCTCCTTTTAATTTCTGTCTATTTAATATTCTTGTAGCCAAAAGAATCCTGACAAAATACCTCTTGGTAAGATGCCATCTCCTATAGAACACTGATCTAGCCCAGAGCTTCCACACAGAGATAATGCCTCTTATTCTGCTTGGTCAGACACACACTTGGCTGGGCTCCTCAGGCCACTGGTCTTAAGTCTGTTCCAGATAAGCAAAGCATGAATCCTTCCATGATTAATCCCTACTGTGTGCAGATGAGCTCCATCTTCCCTTGACTGATGTGCATTCAGGCCCAGGCTAGCCTGACGCTGTAAAGAGCGTTCAACTGCCTGCAGTGATTCCAGAAGCACCAAGTCGCTGCTGCATTTCCCCAGAGCCATCCCCACCTCATCACTGCTGCTCGAAACGCCACCATTAGAGAGTCTCAGCATGAATTTCCAGATGTAAAAAATTAACTTGAAAAAAAAGTATGCTTTAAACTTTACATTCAAGCCTCTTGCATAAGGACATGATAATATGTTTTCCATGAGCAATTGCTGATAAGAGAAAAGTAGAATTTGTGGCACAGTCTGCTCTCGGTCCCAGCATTTAAGATATTTTGGGAGCATGACAATCTCTGGGGTATGACCCAACAGAAAACAAAGATAGCTGGAGGCCTGATTTCTAATCTCACTGGTGATTCATTTGCCCAGCAAATATTTCAGAAACACTTACTATGTGTCAAGGTCTATGCTGAGCACTGGTTTGCCAGTTATGTGACTTGGACAAAACATCTTTCTGAGTTGGACAGGTAAGGTCAGAAGCAGTGACTGTGAGGACTTCTGGGTCCCTTTCCCTTCCTGCTCAATGGCACACATCATTAAATGATGACAGCGTTTCATGCTGCTGCAGTTGGGTGGGTTCTAAATCTAGTCAGGTGGCTCTAGGCAGTTTCTTATCAGTCAGAATAGACTAGATTATGCTGCATAACAACAAACAAGATGTTTCAATGGTTCTCAACTGCAGAAGCTCCTTTTTTGCTAGGGTTGCAGGTTCTGCAGAGATGGGCTGTGGCTGTGCTATGAATCGCCTGCTCTGGGGAGCTCCAGTCTCTATCACAGGGTCTCAGCCTCAGTGCTGACATTGAGGCATTTGGGGTGGGATAATTCTCTGTTGTGGGGGGGCTGTCCTGTGCATCGTGGGATGTTCATCAGCATCTGTGGCCTCCACCTATGTTATGGGTTGAATCGTTTTCACATGTTGAAGTCCTAACTCCCAGTACCTCAGAATGTGACCTTAACTTGGAAATCGGGTTGTGGTGGAGGTAATTAGTGAAGGTGAAGTCGTACTGGAGTAGGATGGGCCTCTGATCCCAAATGACTGGTGGCCTTTTAAGGAGGGGAATTGGGAGGGAGATGTGCACTTAGGGGGAGCTCTACGTGAAGATGAAGCCGGACATTGGGGGGATGGCTCTATAAGGAAAGAGCAGCAACGATGCCAGCAAACCACCAACAGCTAGGGGAGGGGCCTGGAGCCCATCAGCAATGACCTCAGCAGTGACTGGGCCTGCTGGCACCGTGATCTCAAGACTTCCAACCCCCAGGACTGTGAAACAATAAATACCTATTGCTTCAGCCACCCAGTTTGTGGTACTCTGTGACAGCAGCCCCAGCAAAAGGATCACACCCACTTGCTGCCAGTGGCACTTCCCCTCAAATGCCCTCTGGGGGCAATATCGTCCTTGGGTGAGAGCCTGCTCCATTAGGAGACTTTCCAGAAACAGCCCAGCAGGTGCCACACCCTCAGAATCTCTGATTAGAAAATGAACACGTGTCATTTCCACTCACTCTTTTGGGCAAAGCAAGTCTCACGGGTGCACCTCAGTTCCACTGGTGGGGTCTGTGACCCTCCAAAGGGCTGGCACTGCAGTCTGAACAGTTGTCCAGTGTTCCCCAAAACTAAGAATGGGAGGTGGCAGGTGAGCCAAAGGACTCTCTCCTCTCCTCAGCCAGGTCTGAGCTCACTTCACTCCTTCTCAACGAGGCTTGCCTGGGACACGGCCCCTCCCATCCTCTTGTCCCTCCACCAGGTTATATTTTCCACACAGTGCTTGCCACCAACTGGTGCAATGATTTACTCCTGATGTCCTCTGCTTATTGACAGCCCCAGAAGGACAGGCCCTTTCTTCACGCCTCAGCTCCTAGAAGACAGCCTGACCCAGAGCGGATGCCCCATGCAGGTTGGTTGAATGAATCCACAAATGAATGAAACTTATTTGCTAACTCCAGACTAGAGGATCTCTCAGGACATGCTCTGCTTTTTAAAAAATCCTACCCATTCCAACAAGAATTGAGGCTGCTCATTTATGCCCCTAATTTCTGCCTCCCCACTGTCTCGCTTCTGTCAGAATAACAGATGCTGCCCTTCCCTTCCTATGGGTCGGCCAGTTTTGTTCCTAGGGAGCAGCGTGCAGAAGGACGATCCCTGGCGTCCAGGGGCTCTCAGCTGTAATGAGGACCCCGCTGAAGCCAGGGCCTCTGCTGGTTGCTATGGCAACATTGCACAAGGGAAGCCCGCTCTTCCTCTTTGGAGCTGTGTTGTGGCAGGTGACATTGCAGTATCTCGGTGACCTCATTCGTGGTTCTAACCAGTGGCCCTTGGAAGTTTTCTGCTTGCCACCTCTCTGACCCACCCACTCTTTCACCGAGCTCTGGAGAGGAAAGCAACAGTCACGAGGTCCTTGGGCCTGTGGAGTTTTACAGTCTGTGCGATGTAATCAACAAACATTTACTGAACACCTGGTATGTGCTTGGGCCTGAGTGCAGCCCTTTTCCCCCAAAATGGAGATAAAGAAGAGGTGTAGTAGTGTGGCCAAGAGCATGTGATCTAGAGCCTGCTGCCTGGGTTCACATCTTACAGCCAGTGTCTTGCTATGTGTGGTCTTTAAAATACGTCTGTAAAGTCTGTAACACTCCTTCCACTGAAAGTAAAATTTAATTGCTCTTCCATTGACTATGAATGAATTGTGCTCAGTAGACAGAAGGCCTCTCACCATCGCAGCTGGTGGGCAGTGGCTATAAGAATATTGTCACACACACTGTAACAAAAGGAAAAGTAGGGTATTTCCAGTTCAGAGCTCAGATCCCCACATCACAGACTCTCCCTCCCAGTCCGCCTGGCCAGTGGGCAGTGGGAGCGGATTCGTCCAAATGCTTAACGGACATTGGCCTGGCTCTGGAGCAGATCCTGGAGACCTTCCTCTTTTTGTTCTTGGCACGAATGCTTCACTTGCTAGAGCAGGGGAGGCCCAGGGCCTGGGGGGCCAGGAGCAGCGGGGGTGGTGAGATAGTCACTCTGGGGCTCAAAACCTAAGACTCCATCTGGCCCTGGTTGTGGGTAGAAACTCAGGCCACAGTGCTAGTGTCACCATGTGCTCCTCAGACATCTAGCTCTGTGGGGAAGTGGAGGTTCCCTCAGCTCTCCAGGGAGGATGCGCCTACGCTTCGTTTCAGAGGACTCAGGCTGATGGCACTGAAACCAAACCCAGTCAACAGGGTGAAACCGATAGATGGCATTAAAAATTTAAATGAAAGTCCAATTTTTAGCATCTCTGGAAATATCTGAAGATTTGGCTACGTGGGTCCATAGGCCCGCATAGTAACAATTAACTGAAGCTATGTAGTGGGTCACCTACAGCCTGGTCTCTTTAGTTTGCCACAGTCCCCACCCCTCCCTGTTGCCCTGTGTACTTGTGTACTTCCCTCTTTGCTCATTTTTGTTACTGGCCTGGCCCTTGATGGCACTAACGTTTATGGTCCTGCTTTGGTTTGCAAAGAATGTTCATACATCTTTTCTGATGTATTTCTCTCCATACATCTGCGATCTGGGTCACAATGATTAGATGTGGTTTTCTGATGGGGGAATTAAGGCTCAGAAAGGTAAAGATGTGCCTGCAGCCAAGCAGGTCACTCCTTATCTGCAGAGGTCCTAGAATATGAACTTGAGACTCGCCTGCTAGCAGAGGGTCCTCCCAGGCATATGGAGAGAGAGAGGAGACAGAGCTCAGGTGGGAGACAACCTGACTGTGCAGGTGCAAGGAGCTCGAGTGGTCAAGACCAGGGCCATCGCCAGCCACGGGCAGGAGAAAGTCTGAACACAATTCGACAATTTCTAATAGTTCCTTCTACAGCTCCTGAGACGCCAACACTGTGGTTACGTGAGGTGCCAAGAAAGGGACAGAAACCAGAGATACGTGCTGAGAGAGAGAGAGACATTGGGGAATGCACAGAGGGAGACAGGCTGAAAGGGACAGAGGAAGAGAGAGAGAACTGGGAAGAGAAGGTCCAGAGAGAGCAAGGGAAACAGGAAGAGAAGCTGGTTGAATAGAGTCTGAGAGCTGCTGAACGCAGGGAGGCTTTGTATTCCAGGGCCGGATGACCCCAAGGTTGATCCCTCTGGGGCAGGCTCCAGCTGCAAACAGCTGTTTGTGCCTGTCTCCTACCCCCAGGCTCCCAAGGAGCCCCATGAACTGTGACATACTCGCCAGCACACTGTCCCTCTGGGGCCACTCTGCACCCAGCCCATCTCCGTCTGCCATTTCCCAAGCCGTCCATCTCCTGGGGAGAAAGAGGCTGCTCAGCCTCTTGTCCTCCCTGTGGGCAGGGAGCTCAGGCCAGGCTTCTGTGGCGTGTGTGTGTGTGTGTAAGTGAGGGGCTCGCCCAGAGAAGGCTCCCGGCCCAAGTATTGCAGGTTCAGAGCGGACACCCTCCTTGGGAAGTGATACAGAACAGATGTGCTTCTATGGTCTCCATGGAGATCTGGCAACCTGGCAACCCTGATGGGTAGCCAGGCCTGGGCCTTGAAGCTTTTGTCTTTTCAAAGCCTTTTCTTGAGAGCCAATACTGAGAACAAATCTGCCAGTCATCCATAGGGACTGAAGCTTTCCTCCCAGCCTCCAGGGGCCTGGGACCAGCCCACCCCAAAGAAGGGGCAGATGTGGGTGCCCCTTGATGAGCTCCCCAAGGTCCATAGGCACAGATTCTAGTTAAATGATATTCAGCTCCTCCTTCTGTCCTTCCACTTGGTGCTGTTAAAACACGCTGATGCCAGCTCTAGTTACAGTACAAAGGCCTACAGGTCTGTGCTGGAAGAAAGAGAGAAAAAACAACCCTGGTATATCTTGAACATATAACCAAAAGCACTTTTAAGAGGTAGAGGCAGATGACCAGAATAATTCATGGCCATTCATTTAATCACTCAGCAAATATCAGAGCCCCCACTAAGTACCAGCAGTGAACCTCCCAGACACAGTCCCTCCCTCATGGAGCTGACAGGTGGTAGGGAAGATAGATACTTGGCACTGTCAAATAAATGATTCCAGTCAAGGAAATGAGATGAAATCATGGGTGAAAGAGTAGTGAGGGTGGATGGGCATATGTCACACAGGGCATGCTGGGAAAGTGGATCCAAGTGGGTGACACATAACAGGGTCAGAATGAGAAGAGAGGAGTGCAGGGAAAAGAATCCAAGAGATGGGAACAGCCAATGCAAAAGCTCAGAGTTCATCTTACCTGGAGTTGAAAACATTCACCAATCAGAATTGATTCAGGATGCTTGCTTTGCGGGCTTCATGAGGATGGAGGTGCAGTCTCTCACCCCACAGAGACTGTGTAAGAAATCCTTCCTCTTCTGGAAAGCAGGGTGATGAGGGATGCAAGGAGCTCCATGGGGTCCCCCTCTCAAGTTAACTCAACCATGAGTCAAGATAACCAGATCCTGTTATACCTTAAAAGCATGGAGCTGGAGGCTTCCTCGGTGTCTCCTAGGTCTGTGCTTCCCAAACGTCAGCATTCACCCTCCTGGCACCATGCTGCATACCCATAACTCACCTGCCCACAGTAGATATGTCTCCTCAAAGCTTTACCCTGGCTGACCTAAAGACCTATCAACCTCATCCTCAGGAATAATAATCATGACATTATTGTTCATTCTTTTTTTCTGACAAACAGTCATTAAAATTAAAAGTGTGCATCCAGGTACTGCCTGAAATATTCACCCATAGATGACAATTGGGGAAACATTGCTCTAGTTCAGCCCCTGAATTCACACACAACTGAAGGCCAAAGACTTGCACAAACCATGCAATTAGTGAGCCCCGCGCATTCCCAACTTCCCTCCTGGGCTCTGGTCTGATGTTCAGCAAGTGGCCTCATGGCCCAGGCCACTTAGTTCTCAGAGACTCAAGCCTCCATGCTGTTTGGTTTCTATGTCTCCCTCCCTCCCTGCCTTCCTTTGGGGTTTGCACATGCTCAGCTTCACTCCAGGACCTCCCCCCCAACCCCTGCAGAGGGTCCTGGCTTGCCACATTCCACACGCTCACTCACTAGGCCACCCCTTGGCCATTTATCTTTTCATCCACTCAAAGCCCAGGGCTCCAAATCTCTGAGAAGATTTCTAAATCAGCTATCTTGGCTCCTTCCTCTGTCCAGAAGGGCAGGCTGTGTGGATAAATTCTTGATTAGATAATATATGCTAATGTATGCACGCTGGGGGCCCCAGTGTCCTGGGCTGTAGCCAGAGCAGCCCCTGCCTGGGTGGAGTTGTCAGAGTGGCCAATGGGTCACACCCCGCAGAGGCCCCATGCTTGAGAGACTTAGACCCTCTCTCCTGGTCCACCCAGGTCACTGACAAGGTCAAATAGAGTCTCTGACTCTTGTGCTCAGAGCTGTGGGAATGGGGGCAGGGGTCCACATGTGGTGCAGATGCTGCAGATGGCAGGCCCCACGCAGAACGGCCGCTGGACCAGTGCCTCCAGGAAGCTAAGGGCCCTGCTGACCTCAATACCTACTCTGAGTTCCCTCCAGCCATCTGCTGAGGAATTCGACCCAGGTCAGGTGTGATTGTGCCAGGAACTCCAGCCCTATTGACCCCTTACTGACAAAATCTTCAGTGGCTCCAGTTGCCCAGCTGGGAGCCAATCTATTCAAATTTTGTGTTCTTATATAAAGATCCAGATTTTTTACTTGCTTTGCAAAGACCAAGCACCTGGCAACATCAGGCCGGCCTCCCTGGGTGACCTGGGAGATCTTACACACTGGGAGTAGCCTTCCTGGGGGTGTGCTCTCCAGCCCCAGCTCCCCACGGTCCCCAGCTACGGCAGCGCTGCCTGGGGCTACCTGCCTGCTCTCAGTAGGAACTGGATGTACCGCGTCATTTCCACAGTTAAGGGAAAAATAGAAG